TTAGGAAGTTGAAACGTCAGGGAATAATAAAGATATTGTTAGGCATGTACATAGGGGTGTGGCCGTCCCTAGGGGTGGTTGATTGTAATTTTACATTGTATTTTCTGTTATCTACCCTTATATCTTTAGAATTAGGAAATAAAAACCGTGGGAATTAATACACCATCGTAAGAAATGTGCGTGGGCACTTCAGATTTTTGTGACTTGGGGTGTAGTTGTCCCTGGGGGTGGTTGAGATCGTTAGAGATGTGCTTGGGCACATCGGAATTTTTGGTGACTTGGGGAGTAGCCGTCCCTGGGGATGGTTACTTGACTGTAATATTATCACCGTAATTTCTTTCATCTCCTTCTCGACCATTCGAGTTAGGAACATGAGTCTTCGGTGCATGGGTACAGGGGAATTTTAGTGTGACTTTGGGTGTGACTGTCCCTCAGCGGATGGGGTGATTGGTGGCATGTCAGACAATTAAGCTGATTCCACTGATTGCACTTAAGTGAGATCCCCTGCAGAGTTGGACCGACCCAGCTAGTAGGATGTGTGAATCTGAAAGTGGTCTTCGAGTTAAGAAGGAAGGGGAATGCAAAGAAAGCAGCAGATAGCACTTAATAACAGACCTTCAGCGGTATGCTTGAATGTAGGTCAAGTTAATAAAAAAAACCCTTGCAAGACCCCATACTTTCAGGAATCCCTGTGCATAGCCTCTGTATAGCAACACACATGCTAATTACTATTTATGATTAATTAACATGTTTATTTTGTATTAAGACATAACGGCTAGTTGAACGCCAGGATTTCTGAGTGTGTAGGGCCTTATGGTTGGCATGGGTCAAAAGGACAGCTTTAACTGGATTCCTTGACCTATATTCATGCCTACGACTGTAAGTCCGTTTAGTGCTATGTGCGCTGCTGCTGTTCTCTACATTCCTCAAAGATCCATGCACATTCATAAAAAGTGACTGGTTTATAAATCCCCAACGTTTAATGTTCCTAACTCTAAGGGTAGATAGTAGAAATAACGGTGCAAAAAACAGAATCAACCACCCCCAGGGACGGCCACACCCATTAAAAACCCAGAAGGATCCATACATATCCCTAAAGACATGTTTTCAATCCCCGTAGCCTTCCGTTCCTAACTTATATGGTCTAAAGGTAGATAGCAGAAATTACAACGTCTAATTATATTCAACCACCCCCAGGACCACACCCTAAGTCCAAAAAACTAAATGCCCTTCAACATCCCAAATGATACTGTAGCTACGTTTTTTATGTTTTAACTCAAATGGCCGATACAATGGGTAGATAGCAGAAAATACGTTGTAAAATTAGAATGAACCACCCCCAGGGACAACCACACCCATGTCACAATACATTTCCGAAGTGCCCATGCACATTTCTTACGATAGTGTATTAATCCCCAACGTTTTTATTTCCTACCTTGTAATTCTGAAAATATAAGGGTAGATAGGAGAAAAATACGAAGTAAAAAGTACAATCAACCACCTCTAGGGACGGCCACACCCCCAATTTAAAAAAAAATCCGAAATCCCATGCACATGCCTAACAAAATGTTTATTAACGTTTAGACTTACTAACTCTGGTTTAGGAAATTACAATGTGAAATAAGTTTTATAATATCGCCCACCCGAGGGGCAGCCTGGCCATTTTCAGCATACATAGTCGAAGCAAGCCCGTCCCCACTCCAATTCTACCTGTCTCGTACTTCAAGCTGTTTCAGGGACTTAGAAAAAATCCTGGTTGCAAAAAGCGTTGCAGTTGCAAAATGCGTTGTCACGATTTTCTTTGGTTGCAAAATGCGTTCAGTTGCAAAATGCGGCTCTACTTAGTAGGACCGCATTTTGCAACTGAACGTATTTTGCAACCGGTTGCAAAATGCCCCCTCATAGTCTCCCTAAACGTGTCGTCCCTCGCGTAGGGAACGAAGCAAACATCGGGATAAGAATAAATTACATGCACGTTCTGATCGAGGAGTGGTCGAGATTCAATTGTTGTGCCCCTGCAGGGACGGCCCGTGTTCGAGGCGGGGAGCTCATAAAGGGATTAGGTGATGCTGTAAGTGATTCGGCCGTATTTCATCCGCGGATCTGTTAGAACGCGGATCAACTTGATCTGAAAGCGCCTTTATTCACTGCAAAACTAGCAAAATGCTCAATATCTTCAAAGGCCGCAGACATGCACCGAGGCAGCTGTATTCTCAGTATTTATTAATTGATTTAATAATGTACCGCCACCAAAATCTAATTTTTAGTTGGCCATCCCCGATGTTTATGACTTTATCAAAAACTTTTTAAATTTTTTAACACCACCCCAGGTTTCTGCGGGATAACTGATAAAAACCGTATTGGGTGGCGCTTTCTTCAAACCTGTATATTGAAAAGGAGTTAGTCAAAACTTCAGATTCACGGAAAAGTACAAAACACATCAAATGTATGTTACTTGATCATTGTAAAAAATATGATACCAATAAAAACACCACCATACCTGATGCTGTGAAGAATAATAACAAAAGTACTTTGTTTAACAGTTACCCATGATACCGGGCACGTACTACAGTCCAGCCGGAAAGTCACCTTACTTACTCTGCGGGTTTTTCATACGGCCTGGCGCGGTAACCATGGAAACAACATTGTCATCCATACGCTGTTTGGTTTCTGTTAACATTAGTACCATGCCCTGTCCCGTAGGGAAATTATCTTGTCTTGCTTTCTGCTAACAAAAGAGCCTAACCCTAGCTCGCTGAGATAAAGATCGAAGCTTCACTCTACTTTGATCACTCTACTCTGATACGGAGAATTTAGATATAAGAGCTTGCCAACAATGATTTTTGAAAGTGACTTTATCAAAAAGATTCGGCGATGAAAGCAACTTTCGTGTACATTTTTAGCTATGAATTGCTTGAATTGACATAGAGTTGAATAAATGAATTTATGAAAAATCAAATAAAACACTACTCGTACTTGTATACTTTTAATATTTATTAGGCTTCAAACCGTCATTGCTATATACATATTATAAACACAACTGAACTTTTTTATAGTAGGTCCTGATATTTCTATTTGCTTTGTTCATGAATAAATGCAAGTTTATGCCTGTGGTTCTATACAACCAGAAAAACGCGTCGTTTGTGAATGTACATGTATATATTCAGCAGACTGTCGTCATATGTTCACCAGTATTAAGTTCTTGCTTCTCAGATGTAACAAAATGTATTATATTGTGCCTGGAGAAATACTAAATTAAGATTACTTTTTTATCAACTTGTTTATATTTTATATTAAATAAAATGTATGCAGTCGATCAAATCCTATTTATAATATACTGTATCGATACACTGTATCGCTTGCCCAGCCAAAAATAGGAAATAAACTAAATACCTAACTACCCCACTTTCAGTGTGTCAGCGTTTTATAATTACCTTTTCTTTATATATATCAAAGTTTTGTCTTTGTCAGTATTCTGCTGTTAAGCGGCGTAAAGAATGTCCTTTACTGTTGTTTCTATTCAAATTACTAATATATGTACACAGGGCGGTAGGGAGAAGTATTGATAGGGGGGAGATGTGGAGGGGAGGGCCGCCTTTTTGGCCTAGGAAAAAGTCCTCTCTGAACCCAAAGTTAACAAAGGTTTATATATATATTCCAAATCCTCAGGTTGAGTCAACCAGGTAGATATCTGCTCTCTTCTTCCTTAGCTCAACCAAAGGGAGGCGAAGGGGAGTTTACTTACTTATTATTATATTTTTGGCGNGGGGGGGGGGCGCGTTAATGATCGCCAGCCCATCTGAAGCGTGAAACAATGTATTATCAACTGAGCATAATGCTTGGTTCTTCGCAACCTCTGTGTGTGTGTGTGTGTGTCAAAGAGAGAAAGAGAGAGAGAGGGGAGGGGGGCTTATGTACTGGTACAGTTATTACAACAACACCAGAGAGATATTCAGTGTTGACTTACTTGGTGTGCACCCTGATCCTGGAGGTGATGTTGGGACTGTGGTCATCGGACACAAGCATACTTGGTATGATAAGGAAGCGAAGAAGAAAAGGAAGTTCCTGACGCACAGTGTGTTGTCCGCACATTGCCTGGGCAAAATCAACGCGGTCGTGGAGTTGGTTTCAGGGCCAACACAAGGCCGGAACAACCCGGTCCCTGTTGTGTCATCTAATGGCCCTGCAAAAAGACAATATTTAAAAGAACATAAGTAGGCCTTATATATAAATACCACGTGGGAATGCACAAACGAACGAATAAATCGGGTAATTAGTAAATAAGTGAATATGCATGACCTAGAGAGAGCATGAATGAAAATATCGAATTCTGGAGCAAGACTCGGACTCTCATGCTGCGGACAATCCGCTACTTACCGCCAGAAATAGGGATGAGCATATTTTTATACTATCTCCTTCGGGCCGTCAAAATCTCTAGCTGTTTAAAGATGCACCTCGGGAAAATGGCCTCGAGAAAATACTACAACAAAACGAATGATTTCATGATATATACACACACAGATATATTTTGACAAAAGAACATAATATGACACAAAATATACAGATATTTAACCCATAGAGTGTCTTTAATTTCCCATGCTGACGTCACAAGCGCTGTGCTGTGAATAACAGAAAACTGCCGGATGTAATAAAGGTTTTTCAGAATATTCGGTAAAGTTAACAAAAACACCGAGTGAAAATATACTTTCGAATCACGTCACGTGATTCGCAAGTAACAAGAGGAATACATGCATGTCGGGATAGATGTCGAATTCGCTGAACTATAATACTTTGGCGGGGGGAGGGGGGTCGAACGAACTGTCTTTTTATAACTGAAAGCCCAGTGGAGTAAGTAGTTACTCGATCTTTTCAACAGAGGAAAATGGTGAATCTCACAGATACTGTTTATTTTAAGTCATAATCCCTTAACATTAGAAAACTCCTATTCAGTGGTAGCAAAATCCTTTTGAAAGCAGGCTACTCTATAGTTCTATTCTGCGTAGTAAATTGACAATTTTTGTCCATTAAAAAGATCGAGTATTTACCGTAATTTACTCTTTACCTCAGACAACTCGTTCCCTTTCTGTCCGATATGCCCCACACACACTCCTGGAGTATTTCAAATTCATATACCCACTGGTCGATATAGCTTTTTTCTATAAGATCTCTTATAGGCTGTCCTAATCGGATTTCAGAATGACAGAAGAAATTCCCGGTGTAACGAAACTGAGGGTCCGTGTAACAGAAAGTCTGCCCTCCATATAGTTATAATGGTTAGGGTTAGCCTGACCTAAGTGGGTCAAAATCTAGAGCGAGGCTTACCTGTACAAATCAATGAATGGAAAGCGGACTCCAGGTTATGGGGTGCTCTCTGTCAGGTTACACCGGCTTAATTTTCTCGGTATGTTGGGATACCAGGACCCCATCATAATTAAGGTACCATGTCTAATGGCGATTTTAATCTTTCGCTTTCCACAGTCAATTTAGTTCTTTTTCTATAATGAAGCTAATTAGGAACAGTTGGAAGTCCACATTTAGTTCAAACATAGTTCGACCATTTCAGGCGTGCAATGCCTATAATTAAAATACAATTATAATCAAAATGCGAATCTCTTTCACTAGATATGAAAACGAAGAGAGATAAAGGCAGAAAAGCGCCTGTCTCGGTCACTGTCCAGTTTTGGGGTAGAAAACTGAGACCTGCCAAAGCCATAGATGGATTTATCATTAGACATTCACAGATATGTCTCTGGTATATTCGTGGTGATTTTTAATATACTGTACTGTAATGTACTGTACTGTGCTGTACTGCGAGATTTTTTTTTATTTTGCAAGGGATTCATGTCTTCCCTCAGCCGACCTCAAGTAGGCCTACAAAATAGGTATTTGGATCATGTTAAGGCACTGTCACTGTCACACCTAGCGTAGAGCATCAGCGTTTAAGGAAAATCGTGTGAGCCTAAAGGAGCTCTGGAAACGCCGGTGTGACAGGAATCGTGGTCCTCTAGGAACCTAGTCCGGTCCCCATTACTTTGTACCGGTGACACTGGTCCCATACACTGACCCCGACTTACCCTAACCTGTACTGTGCGTATGGGAGCCAGGTGTCATGTACCAGAAAGTCCCCCATAACAGAGAGTCCGCCTTCCATTCATTTGTACAGGTGAGCCTCGCCCTAGATTTTGACCCACTTAGGTCAAACTAACCCCAACCATTATAACTATATGGATCGGATCGAGGGTGGACTTTCTGTCACACGGACCCTCAGTTTCGTGACACCGGACTTCCATTCCTAGGACTACCAAACGGTCACACCGGCTACACGTAGGCTTATTAGGCGTCCTCACAAATGGCCCGAGTTTTTAATCGAATAAGCCTTTATCGTCTGCCCATCTGGTGTTAATTTTAGGACAGTATGGCACCTGTAATAACCTGGACGACGTGTAATTATAAGGACAGCTATGTTGAGGGATGCGGCTCAGATTTGTTTCATCCTCTTGTTTACATGTGACAAATGCAATTACTGTACTAACTGGCGTTTTTTTTCTTTCTTTTCTTTTTTTTTTTTTCTTTTTACAAAAAGATAAAGATAACAATGAATATGGAAATCAGTAAATGGTGGAGATGTAGTAAAAAATTGCCTTTTTAAAATTGATAATGATAACAATGAAGATGTAATTCAGTAAATAGAGATATAGTGAAGTTCGTTTAAAGGTGTATTAATTCTTACTGAAAGTGCCAAGTTTTTGGCTTCCCTCGCTTCCGTCTCTCTTTCTGTACAGCTAATGCTTACACCAACAGTCTCAGACCCATTATGAAATAAACAACATCACACTATCGAAAAACCATGTTAATGTCAGGAGCAGGCCTACCTGTCGATCGGGTGAATTTTTTCAAATAAAACACACTCGTCTCTCACCTGATGTTTCTTCTAGACTATCTCTACTGTAAACTCTGTCCGCAACTGGACGCAGCTGTCCTCTTCGTAGTTTCAGGATGCTAATGAAGAAGAGGAACTTATGGGACTTAAATGAATGGTAATGAAGGAGATAAACTAAGTGTCTCAGGCGCCTGTTCATAAAGATAAATACAGTTATCCACGTGTGCAGGTATAATTAATGTAGTGCAAGAGCTACTAATTAGTTACAGTGCCGCTTTGCCTCTGTAAGACCAGCCAATCAGAGGCATATGAGTTCAGTTACCCAGGAGAAAGTTAATGCAGCCTCCCCCTCACTTGTCTAGTTAAATTCACAACATTCAGTAGTGCATAAGTTATAGGACTTAGACAGGTTACCTAGATCATATTATTAATTTTCAAACCAGTATGATATCGCACTTCGACTTCTTAATGGTGCCAGTGCCGATTTTAACAGACGATTGTTTTGCTAATCTACCAGTCATAACTTAAATTTTTGTAAATAGCTCTTTTTAATCTTAATGTTTCTTTATTCGTTAGTCCAGAATGTGTAGAATTAATTACGTTGTTTATTTATTATAGTTTTGTTAAAATTGAAGATAACAGCTAGTAAGATTAAAACAACGATGTGAAAATTAGAAATTGAGACGTCGCAGAGTAGTTTAGATGACGAAGATTTCTGAGTTCATTTTTTACTGATGACACAACTTATTGAAATTGGAACGTGATAAAGATAGGGATGACGAAGATTTCTCACTGAATTTTTACTAATGACATTGTGAAATTGGAACGGTACACTGAAGATTGTGATGACGCAGATTTCTGCGTTCACTTTTTTTTTCTGATGACACAGCTTACTGAAACTGAGACGCCACAGAGTAGATTTGTATGACGAAGAGTTTTAGGTTCATTTTTACTGATGAAACTGCTTAGTGAAATTGGAACGGTACACTGAAGATTGTGATGACGCAGCTTCTCAGCTCACTTTAACTAATGAACTCAGAAATCTGCGTCAGCTCCATCTTCTCTTTGACGAAGATTTCTGATTCATTTTACTAATGACATAGCTTATTGACATTGAAACGTCACAGAAAAGATTGGGATGATCCAGATTTCTGAGTTTATGTTTTCACGATGGCACAACTTACTAAAATTTAGACGTCACAGAGAAGATAAGAATGACGCAAATTTCTGAGGTCACTTTTACTAATGAACTCAGAAATCTGCGTCACCTAATCATCTCTGTGACGCAGATTTCTGAGTTCATTTTGACTTATGACATAGCTAAGTGAAATTGGAACGTCACAGAGAAGATAAGGATTTCTAGCGTCACCCTAATCTTTTCTGTGACGCAGAATTCTGAGTTCATTTTTACAATGGCATACTTTATTGAAATTGTAGTGTCACAGAGGACATTGGTATGACGAGGAACTCTGGGCTCACTTTTATTGTTGATGCAGCTCTTAAAAATTGTAACGCCACAGATTAGTTTTAAGTTAGATCATTTTTATTAATGACGCAATTTATCGAAATTGGAACGTCACAGTGAAGATTGGGACGACAAAGATTTTTGAGTTCATTTTTACTGATGACACAGCCCATTGAAATTGAAAAGTCAAAGAGAAGATAGGGATGACGCAGATCTCTGAGTTCATATTGACTTATGACATAGCAAAGTGAAATTGGAACGTCACAGAGAAGATTGTGATGACGCATATTTCTGCGGTCACTTTAAAGTTTTACTAATGAACACACCCTAATCATCTCTGTGACGCAGGTTTCCGAGTTCATATTGACTTATGACATAGCAAAGTGAAATTGGAACGTCACAGAGAAGATCGGGATGACGCAAATTTCTTAGTTGTTTTAAACTCATGAACTCAAATCTGCGTCATACCCATCTTCTCTGAACTTACTTTCACTAATTAACTCAGAAATCTGCGTCATTCTAAACTTTTTTACGCAGATTTCTGAATTCATTTTAACTTGTGAAATTGAGACGTCGCAGAGTAGAGTTGGATGACGAAGATTTCTGGGTTTAGTTTTACTGAGGACACAGCTTACTGAAATTGAAACGTCACAGAGAAGATTCGGATGATGCAGATTTTTCAGTTAATATTTTCACGATGACGAACTTAACTGACTTTTAACCACCACAGAGAAGATAGGGATGACGCAGATTTCTGAGATCACGTTTACTAATGAACTAAAATCTTCTCTGTGACGTAGATCTAAGCTCATTCTTTTCTGATGACACAGCTTACTGAAACTGAGACACAGTACATTTGTATGACGAAGAGTTCTAGGTTCATTTTTGATGATGAATCAGTTAGTGAAATTGGAACGTCATAGAGAACATAGGAATGACACAGATTTCTCAGCTCACTTGAACTAATGAATTCAGTAATCTGAGTTCATTTTGACTCATGACACAGGAAAGTGAAATTGGAACGTCACAGAGAAGATAGGGATGACGCAGATTTCTGCGGTTACTTTTACTAATAAACTCACCCTAAACATCTCTGTGACGCAGATTTCCGAGTTTATTTTGACTTATGACATAGGTAACTGAAATTGGAACGTCGCAGAGTACATTTGGATGATGAAGATTTCTGAGTTTATTTTTACTGATGACACAGCTTATTAAAATTGGAACGTCACAGAGAAGATAGGAATGACACAGATTTCTCAGCTCACTTTAACTAATGAATTCAGTAATCTGAGTTCATTTTGACTTATGACACAGGAAAGTGAAATTGGAACGTCACAGAGAAGATAGGGATGACGCAGATTTCTGCGGTTACTTTTACTAATAAACTCACCCTAAACATCTCTGTGACGCAGATTTCCGAGTTTATTTTGACTTATGACATAGGTAACTGAAATTGGAACGTCACAGATAAAATAGGGATGGGGCAGATTTCTAAACTTACTTTTACTAATTAACTCAGAAATGTGCGTCATTCTTAAGATAAGGATGACGCAAATTCCTGAGGTCACTTTCACTAAGAAATCTGCGTCACCCTAATCATCTCTGTGACGCAGGTCTCTGAACTCATTTTGACTTATGACAAAGGAAAGCGAAATTGGAACGTCACAGAGAAGTTAGAGATGACGTAGATTTCTAAGGTCACTTTTACTGTTGACGCAGCTCATTGAAAGTGGAACGCAGGAGAGAAGATTGGGATGGTGCAGACACCTGCGTTCATTAAACTCATGATGCGGTTATTTGAAATTGGAATTTCACAGAGAAGATGGGTATGACGCAGATATCTGAGCACTTTTTCAACTCATGAACTTAGAAATCTGTGTCATCCCCATCTTTGTGACGCAGATTTCTGATTCATTTTTACTGATGACACCGCTTACTGAAATTGGAACGTCACAGAGAAGATTGGGATGACACAGATTTGTCTTCTCTTCTCTGTGACGCAGATTTCCGAGTTCATATTGACTTATGACATAGCAAAGTGAAATTGGAACGTCACAGAGAAGATGGTGATGACGCAGATTTCTGAGTTCATTTTTTACTAATCGACTCAGAAATATGCGACACCCTAATCTTCTCTGTGACGAATGACATACTTTATTGAAATTGGAGTGTCACAGAGAACATTGGTATGTCGAGGATCTCTGAGCTTACTTTTATTGTTGACGCAGCTCTTAAAAATTGGAACGCCACAGAGAAGATTACTTTGAAGTCAGATCAAATTTTATTAATGGCGCAGTTTATTGAAATTGGAACCTCACAGAGAATAATGGAATGACGAAGATTTCATTTTTACTGATGACACAGCTGAAATTTGGACGTCACAGAGAAGGTAGGGATGACGCAGATTTCTAGTTCTTTTTTTACTGATGATGCCGCTTATTGACTTTGGAACGTCACAGAGTAGATTGGAAAGAGGCAGATTTCGGCGGTCACTTTTACTAATAAACTCACCCTTATCATCTCTGTGACGCAGATTTCTGTGTTCATTTTTATTTATGACATTGCAAAGTGAAATTGGAACGTCACAGAGACGATAGGGATGACCCAGATTTCGGACTTCACTTTTACTGATACTAAAATTGGAACGTCACAGAGAAAATACGGATGGCGCAAATTTCTTGACTTACTTTTATTAATTTACTCAGAAATGTGCGTAATTCCTAACCTTTTTTACTTATTTACGCAGATTTCTGAGTTCATTTTGACTGATGACATATCTAAGTGAAATTGAGACGTCGCAGAGTACATTTGGATGATGAAGATTTCTGAGTTTATTTTTACTGATGACACAGCTTACATGTATTAAAATTGGAACGTCACAGAGAAGATTGTGATGACGAAAATTTCTCAGTGAATTTTTACTAATGACATTGTTTTGTGAAATTGGTACGGCACAGAGAAGATTGTGATGACGCTGATTTCTGCGGTCACTTTTACTAATAAACGAAGAAATCTGCGTCACCCTAATCATCTCTGTGAGGCAGGTTTCTGAGTTCATTTTGACTTATGACATAGCTTCTTAGAAATGGAACGTCAAAAGGAAGATTGGGATAACAAAGATTTCCGGGTTCATTTTTACTGATGACACAGCTTACTGAAATTGGCATGTCACAGAGAGGATAGGGATGACGCACATTTCTGAGGTCACTTTTACTAATGAACTCAGAAATCTGCGTCACCTTAATCATCTCTGTGACGCAGGTTTCTGAGTTCATTTTTACTAAAGACATGCTTTATTGAAATGGTAACGTCACAGAGGACATTGGTATGACGATCTGAAGATCTCTGAGGAGATTAGTTTGAAGTTAGATCATTTTTATTAATGACGCGGTTTATTGAAATTGGAACCTCACAGAGAATATTGGAATGACAAAGCTCATTGGAATTGAAACGTCAAAGTGAAAATAGGGATGACGCAAATTTCTAGTTCTTTTTCACTGACGATGCCACTGACGAGTTCATTTTGACTTATAACATGGCTAAGTGAAATTTATCCTAATCAGGATTTCATTTTGACTTATAACATAGCTGACTTATAACATAGCTAAGTGAAATTTATCCTAATCATCTTTGTGACGTAGATTTCTGAGT